GGGGTTTTTGGTGGGGGGGATGGGGTTGGAGGGGGTGGTTTGAGAGGGTGATGTGAGTGTGATGGCCCTAGAGGTGAGTTTTTCTGTTTTGTTTTTGGGTTTTTTGGTTGTTCCAAGCTTAGGTGTTGGGAGGGAGTGTTTGAATTGGTGTTGTTATGATGGTGTTCTTAAGAGAGTCTGTGGAAGGGGTTAGAGAGCGCTAGCTTGTGTCTTGGGAGATTTTATGGTAGCGGTGAGTTTTCTCCTTAGTGATAGTAAGGACAGAGATGGGATCGTAGAGATCTGGTAGGGTGGTTTGTGGATTTGTGGAGGGGGTGGGATGGGATGGGATGGTGTGAGGGGATATCTTCTATGCTGGGCCAAATGAAATCGGGGCTGACTTGGAAGACTTGAAAATCGAGATTGATCTTCTGAGAGATTTAGCATGCATGATTAGCTTCTGACTCGTTTGGTGATTAGGTTCGTTCTTGTTCTTGTTCTTGGATTTCTTGAAAGGTGTGTATAGAGGGATAGTAAGCTTTCTTATATGTCCGATGGGCTGATATGTAATGCATGAGTTATAGGCAGGCCCCTCAACTCTGGAGTTTTTCGGAGGGAATACCAATACGGACCTTTTTTCACTCGGTTCGTATTAAATTAAGGAAGGGATAATACTGGCGGAGTGTATGTCTGATAAAGCTATCGGGAGAAATCGCTTAGTACCCCAGAAAGAGATTATTACTTCGACTCCGAGGCTTATATACCAATGAAGTACAGTACCAAGTAATGAATGATACCTGGGTGGTATGTAAATGACATATCGCCTGCTTACATTTTGGATACATGGGTTATATGAAGAGAGGTGCGGGGTCGTTCCGTGAGTTTTGTATTGATGGTTGTAGGATATAGGTTGGAAGTGCTTGTGGTATTGGTATATATGTAATAGGGAAAATTTTAAATGGGAGTCTTCGCTTTTTGTTGATGAGGTGCTGGTGGTGGATACTTGGTGGAGTACAGTAACTGTCGTTTGGGAGTTTGATAGTTATCGAAGGTCGACGGGGGTAGGTAGATTAATATATTAGAACGATAATGAAAGGAGTAAGTAAGTTCAATAAATTAGTAGAAAGAGTAGCTCGATTCCTAGCTATAGAGGGAATGTATACCTATATAAGCCAAAAACGCTCCTAGCTTTAGTTAGAATATAGCTATTAGTATAGACTAGGAAAGAGCGAATGAAGTTAGTACTTTATGTTGTACGGACGTTCGTGTATAGTAAACAACAGACTTGCATCATCTCGGCTAATCTTAGCTTTACTAAATTTTCCAATAGCAAGTGGAAACCAAGTGTTTAGTTGTTGTGTCGGAGGATAGGACGGGAGTGCCAGAGTGGTTTGTTTTTCGATTGGCTGTAGATGAAGACGAATGAATAAACTTCTTTAGCTTGAGAATCAAAGGTTCCTTAGAAGAAGGCTCAAGGTAGAGCCTTTGGTAAGAGTGATGGAAGTCTGGAATTTTTGGTTGTGGGATGTTATTGACATCGTCCTTACTTTGGGATTAATGAGGAATAGTGGAAGTACAGTGTAAGAATCTAAGACGGGCCTCTTCTACTTTTCTCAACCTCTGGCTAATGATGTAACACGAGGTGTTTAGATGTAGGAAGAGTTCTATAAAATTACGGGGGCAACGGCAATGTGAGGTGCAAAGAGGACTGGTCACCTTAAACCCCCAAAAAAGGTAGTATATGATTATTTGTGATTCGAATTGCTAGAAGATCATTAATCCAAAATTATAGGGAAATTCAGGATGGAAAGCCAAGTTAGTCTAGGAGTTCGAGAGAATAAATGGCTATTCACTGCCACTTTGAAGGTCCGCAAGGTGCTGGTGTTGTACGGATTACTTTTTTCATGAAGGATACCTGCATGCCATGGACAGTAATGGACTCGAGTGCGTGGTGTTCCCAGTGGGAGTTGAAAAGTCAATACCTTATCTACAACCGGGAGTCGATACCTTATCTACTTTTTTATATGCGCTTGGTTGTAGATACCCTATCAATAATTATCGATACTTATCTACAAACAATTATAGATAAATAGTTACTAAAATGTCTAAAGTTATAGATAAATTGCAACTTTTTTCTATGTAGTTTTATATTTATTTCTATACTTATTTCTATACTTTTACAGCTCGAATTACTTACTTAAATCAAGTATATATAGAGGTTATAGGTAGGGATAAGAAAAACGACTAAGTATACGTATAGGTAGGAACAGGAGGGAGTAAAAACAAAACAACTAAGTACACTTATAGGTAGGGACAGGAGGGAGTAAAAATAAAACGACTAAGTACACTTATAGGTAGGGATAGGAGGGAGTAAGAGAGGGCGGGGGAAGAGCAGTAATATATAGGCAGTACTCGGTAGTACTCGGAAGTATGTACGTAGTAGGATCTGCAAGCCTAAACTCTTATTAAAGTCTATTCCTAGCTACTAGACTAGTAAAAGTACTTAGTAAAATCGGGTAACCGATAAAAGTACTTAGCG